GCCACAATCCCTTCTCCTTCATTCTCCTCTCGGGATCTTGGGCACGCACGCACACGCGCCCGGCATGAGTTTTAAGCCACCGGGTCCGGGACACGAACCGCAGTCGACTACGTGGGAGTCCAGTGACATAGCCATTATGCTAACTGCTGGTTCCCGTCCCAGATTCTTTTTGAAGACCCCGTATCTCTACCACCTACCCATATGCTGTGGGCTCCATGATATTAATACACACTGTCTTGAGTTTTATAAGCCAGCGCTCTCTTGCAGCCACAGGTGGAGTGAGTAAATAAAAGACTGGAGGGCTTCAGATGAGCTGTTTTGAAGGACGGCTGCCATCCCCACACCCCCAAATCACACCCTGTAGGAAATGCCGCTCCTGTGTGGTGTTCCCAGGCTAGCTACGGTAGGAGAACAAGAAGGAATTTAGTTTATACTCATTCTATACAGTTAAGATTCATTTATTGGGCCAATCGTGTGGCCACGTGGTTAAAGGAGACAGATCCCACATGGTCAGTGATGGTCCTAATTCCAGCTTTTCCAAAACATGCCATGTGTGTGTCCCATATAGAGAAATGGAGGAGAAGGGATTGTGGTGTGGACACTCCTCACTATAAGTGTTTTCTTGCCCCCCCCTCTGGTGAATGCATTTACTCTCTGGCTTAAAAACAAACAATTTAATGTATTATATATTATAGAAATCTGGTCACATATCTAGTAATTACTGTTTTCCTAAAAGTTGTTCATCTCAGCTAGTAGTTAATCGTGCACTTTGCCTTTCCTATTGAATTTTATATAACTCAGTGCTATTTGCATCTGCTTGTTGTACATTTTTTTACCGTGTGTTATAATCGCCAATTTGCAGAAATGTATCAATGGCTCAGAAGTAGTTAAGTGTGAAGGTGGTGATAAGAATTGCGATGTCAGTAGAACACTGGAAATGTAAACAGTGGACAGAAACCCACTGCAAATACTGAATGGGAAACCATGTATGGTAGAACAAGTGAATCTTGATGAATATGTGAAAATTGGATTTTATCAGACCAGCAATCAATTTGCCTCTAGTTTCTATTACATTGTCTGTTCTGAAACTTTGTTAAAGAATGGCAAGAAGCCACAGAAGCTTTTGCCTTGCTTTCCAAGTACAGTGACCTTTCTGATAAACCAATTGAGTTTTTCCTGAACAAGCACAAAATAATGCTTTCTAATATGAAATTGATGAATATTGTCATTTAAAGGTGGAGAAGAGACCAAAACTAAAGAAACATTATTCAAAGTTACATTCTCCCCCAAAACAAATATAGAAGTCATACCACAGCTAAGAAGTGTTTGAAACTAGCTCTAAGGTTAATGAGAAGTACCATGCTTAGGAAGAAACTTTAATGACCTCTGGGTAATTCATAAATGAAATAGAACATCTCATAATTTCTAATTGAAAAGTTCAAGTGCACTGCTGTATATAGTATATTCATGGCTTACAGCACAGAATAGTAACGTCTATCAGGCTAGCAGAGATTTGGCTTACCTTTAGAAAGAATCACAGATGGGTAGAGTATCAATCAACACTCAGCAGAAGTGTGTAGAAATATAAGAGTGCTTCAAAAAGTTCATGGAAAATGTGCATTTTAATTGGGCTGGCTCTGTGGCCTGGTGGGGAAGGCAGCCAGATTCCCACATGACCAACTGCACAGTGGCTTAAGAAACATACTGGGGGCCAGCAGATGGCATGGTGGTTAAGACACTGGGCTCCAACGTGGTTGACCAGGGTTGGAGTCTCAGACCTGGTGGTTTGAAATTCACAGCTAGCACGTGTACGTGCATGCCCAAAATCCTGAAAGGAGAATGGAGAAGGGATTGTGGCATGGCCACCTCCCCTGGGGGGTGAGTTCTCACTTTCCCTTTCTCTGTCTTTCTCCAGCAAGTCAATGTGGTCTATGGCAAAAACCTAAAAAATAAGTAAGAAAGAATAAAATAAAAAAAGAGAAAAGAAACAGTTTAATGTATCATATTTTATAAAAATCTGGTTACATACCTTGTATGTGCTTGTGCATGTACACCCATAATCCCAAAGGAGGGAGAGATGGAAGACAAGGGATTGCAGCATGACCATACCCTGTGGGGGTGCCTTCTCCTTTCCCTCTCTCTTTCTTGAACGTGTGCAAGTATACATGCCATCTAGCTAAAAAAGTACTAGACTTAGATTTTGATTTTTTTTTGTTATGAAATAAACTCATATTTGAATTCCGTTCTCCCTCAAACTTTTGAAGACCCTTGCCTATGAAAGAGTCATGCTCCTTGACTTGTGAGTTTATTGCTTCATCCTCATACTAGAGATTGTTCATGTAGTTAACAATTATCCTGTGAACCATGAAGCAGGCTAGAAAGACATTGACTGCGCCAGGAAAGCATTTAATAAGGAAGTATTTTCTTACCTGGGTAAAAATTATTGTCCCTTTATCCATTGCTTTATTCCCAGAAAATAGTTGGTGAACTTAATATATTCAAACTGTGGCCACCTAGTATTTATCTTTTTTTAGAGAGAGAGATTTTTGTTACAGGGTATGTGTGCTCACCAGAGAGACAGAAAGCAAGAAATCACCCCCAGGGGGGATGGCCACATCACAATCCCTTCTCCTCTGGTCTCCTCTCAGGATTTTGGGAACACATGCGCATGTGCCTGGGGTGAGTTTCAAGCCACTGGGTCCAGGACTCAAACCACGGTCAGCCATGTGGTAGTCTAGCAACACAACCAGTATACCATCTGCTGGTCCCCATCTTTTAAGCATGCTTTGTGAAAAATTGGCAGCAAACATGAACCTTCTTTCCCCACAGAAGTAAACTGTTTATTGAGGTGAAATGTGTTTACAAACGTTTTTGAAACCAAGGATGAGATCAAAGCATTTCTTCATACCACCAGTAATGGCAATTATTTTAAGTGGTTTTTTCAAGTGGCATATCTCAGAGATATTTTCTGCTTTCTAGTAGTCCCAGTTTATCATGCCAGCGTATAAATTTTATCATTTTAAATATTAGGAATATCAGGGTTTCTTTTTTTTTTTTTTTTGAGAGATTTTTGCTATAGGGCGCATGCGCTCGCCAGACAGACAGACAGAGACATAGAGACAGAAAGCGAGAAATCACCCCCCAGGGGGGATGGTCATGCTGCAATCCCTTCTCCTCCATTCCCCTCTCGGGATCTTGGGCACGCACGCACACACGCCCGGCGTGAGTTTTAAGCCACCGGGTCCGGGACGCGAACTGCGGTCGACTACGTGGGAGTCCAGTGACATAGCCATTACGCTAACTACTGGTTCCCGATATCAGGGTTTCTTAAGAAGATCAAACTGTGGTTTAAACACCCTAATCAACCAGTGATTTTCTTCTCTTTTCTCTTCTCTTCTCCTTTTCTTTTCCCTTCTCTTTTCTTTTTTAAAGAATTTGCCAAAGGGTGTGTGCACTTGCCCTTTTCTTTTCTCTTTTCTTTTTAAAAGAATTTGCCAAAGGGTGTGTGCACTTGCCAAGGAGAGAGAAAGAGGGAGCAAGCACTCCCCACTGCCATGCGGTCATGCTGCCGCCCCCCTCTCCTCCATTTTCCCACTGTGTCGGGATTTGGGGCATGCAAGCACAGGAGCCCAACGTGGGTTCAAGCCATCAGGTTCAGGACTTGAACTGCACGGTCAGCTGTGTGGGATCCAGTTCCCTTAACCACTAGGCCATGGACCAGCCAGTTAAAAAATCCAAGTGATTTTTTAACACTTTTTTTCATTCATCAGAGAAATCAATGACATTATGAAACATATTTATAATGTTATATTTGAAAAAATTAAATAAACAAAAAGAAACAAATCTAAACGCTGTTTTTAAACCTGCGGAAACATTTTCAGAGCCAAATGAAATGCAAATGTGTTTTAGTATTCCATTTAGTCCAGATGTTAAATACAATGTTTTCTATCCTAGAGCCGGTCTACTGCTGAGAAAGAAATCGTATCATACTCTCATATTTCACATATTTTAACCTTATAGTTAGAATGATCAGAAGAAGGTCCTGGACAATTTTACCATTCCCGATAAGCAATAATTATGATTAGGACTTTTTATTTCAGGAGAAATAGAACCAGGATAAAACTATGTGTGGGCTCTAACCCATACTTCAAAAGCTTTTCTTCCTTTAGAGGTTCACGAAACTTTGGCAAATGATTGCAAACAATGGCACTCCTTTCTCTGGTATAAAATAATTATCATTATTATTCATTGAAAAGTACTTTGTTTTGGGTGAATCTTGAGAACACTTTGCCGAGTAAAATAAGCCAGGCACAAAATGGCAAGGGCTTTACCGTTCTACCTACAGGCAATACTGAGAAGAGTCAAATTCAGAGACAGAAGGTGAAATGGAGGCTGCCAAGGACAGAGGGGAGTGGCCATGGAGCCGTCCCTTTCATGGCACACAGTCTATGTTTGGAGTGACGAGAAAAGGATGGAAATAAAAGTGAGGATGGACTTCTTACTACTTTGTATTCTTAAAAGTGGTTAAAATGTTAACTTCATAGTTAGTCAATTTAACCTCAGCATAAAAATGTGTTTTATTGAGCCAGTGATGGCAGGGAGGTTAAAGCAGCTGGATCACACATGGCCAAAACTGCAACATTTGAGTCCCAGACATGGCAGCTTGAAAAATACACCAGACGTGTGTGTGTTTGTGTGTGTGTGTGTGTGTGTGTACCCAAAATCCCAAGGGGAGAATGAAGGACAAGGGATTATAGTGTGGTCATCCCCCCCGGGGGGGGGTGTGATATCTTTCTCTTTCTCTCTTTCTCTTTCTGTTTCTACAGTAAGCACATGTGCCCTACAGGAAAAAAAAAAAGAAAGAAAGAAAGAAAAAAAAGAGAATTGCTTTATTACTATTTTAAAATTTAATTTTAAAATCTAAACTAAAATGTACTTAAATATATGACAAATTGTTAGCCTGTGCATGCCGAACATCCAGTAACTGTGGGTGCTGGGAGCAAGCTCTGGAAATTCTCATTCAGGACTTTTGTTTCTGCAGAATGGAGGAAGTGAGAATGGACTGAAAAAAATCGAGAAGAGAGCTAAGCTTGGGGAATTAAGAGCAGGAAAGGAAAGTGGAAACTCCTAGTAATATGCTGTGGCGAGTCCACTCTCCTATTATCTGCAGAAAGAGTCCAAAGAGAAATTTAACATTGAGTTTCTGTGGTAGGCAGGTCCAGTGGCCTATAACAGAAACACATTTGTTGGAGTGTGTTGCAAAGTTCTGCATTTATTTTGCACTTGAACTTGTTAGGCATATTGAAGTGAAAGCTTTTGGTTGTAGAATTCCTTCTTTAGGCAAAGTAATCAAAATAAGAGGCCTTTTCAGACTTAAAACAGTTGTTATTGGACTTTACTGGAAGACAGTCTTTCCTGAAGTGGAGCCAGAGTATTGATAGGTAGTCCATGCAAAAAGGGGTCTATAGTTAACAGATTTCTCTGCTATAAAACTTTCCAGAATGCATTTCGACTCAAAGAAAGGGTTAGCCTTTGAAAAAACGTTGCTGATATTGCCAACAGGTCTTCAAATTGACCTCCTTTTTGCTTTTCACAAAGCATTTTATGAACATGTGTTCCGGGATGCACATTTTGGTAAAGGTCAATGCTAAGGAATCATTAGTATTGCTATCTATTTGCTTTTCACCCATGTTTTATTTGACCACTGCAAATATCAGGAACTTAGTTACTGTTAAGTGATCTAGGTTTAATGTTTATTATTTTTCTTATTAAAAAGGCAATGCAATCATATTGATGAAAGATCAGCAAAGAGTAAAATTAAACACTTATGATCAATGATTACAGTATGTAATCACTGATGACTTCTGTACATGAATGCAACTCTCTTACTATAAGTATATATATGTATTTATTCACTATAATGCCATCTAGTGCATATCATTTTTAAAGTTAAAATTTATTTATTATTATTTTAAATTTGACTGAGGGAAGACAGAGACAGAGAAAAAAAGTGAGAGAGCAAACCACTAGGTCGAGACTTGAACCATAGCCAGCCATGTGCGAGTCCAGCACCTTAATCACCACACCACCTACCAGCCCCAGTACATATTGTTTTTAAAACTGAATTTTAAATTATTGATCCACCACAAACCTCTTCCCATGTCAGTTAATATTTGTCCACAGGATAATTTTACTGCTGGGGCTGGATGGTGGTGCAGCAGTAAAAATGCAATGTTCCACAAGGATAACCTACATGGAAAGGTACTGGGTTTGCATCCAGAGACTTCCCTGAGCACACCAAGGATGCATGTAACCTAATCTGAGGATGAAGCTAAGGGTGAATCCTGGCCTCAAGACCCTGTTGGGGTGTTACCTCTTAGCTACTCTCTTTCTTAGTCACGGAAGAAAAAAACTCGGGGCTGGCAGGTGGCATGGTGGTTAAAGGCGCTCAATTCTCACATTGCTGACCACCGTTCGAGTCCCAGACCTGGTGTCTTGCTTTCTTGCCCTCCCTTTGTCTCTCTCTATCTATGTCTGGCCAAATTAAAATAATAATAATAACAAGTGGATTTAAATAAATAAATAATTCTTTAAAAAAAAGGGGGGTGGGGTGGGGAAGGCCAGCAGGTGGTGTGGTGGATAAGGGCACTGGATTCCCACATGGCTGACCACAATTCGAGTCTTGGATCTTGTGGCTTGCTTTCACACTTTCCCTTTCTCTCTCTCTCTGGTCAAATTAAAAAATAATAACAAATGGAATTAAATAAATATTAAAAAAAAATAACTTAAAAAAAGTTTTAATGCTAAACATTTCCATGTTTGTACACATGTATAATGTTAAAACACAGGTCTGGGGACCAGCAGGTGGCGTGATGGTTAAGGCACTGGACACTCCCACATGGCCGACTGTGGTTCAAGTCCTGGAACTGGTGGCTTGCTTTCACACTTTCCCTCTCTCTCTGTGTGTGTCTCTCTGTGGTCAAATTAAAATAAATGAATGAATAAATAGAATAATTCTTTTAAAAAACCCCCACAGGTCTGACCTATTGGCATAGACTGACTGCAGGTCTAGAAAATTCACAAATACCTTCATTCATTTTATCTCTTCAGTGTAGCACTTCAGTACAATTTTGAAGAAAAGATTTGGTCAACCCTTTCTAACCCCTCCACACTTGCATTTTGACCACTTAGATGCAGCGACAGCTAGTCAAGGTTATGTGATTGATAACACATTTGCCTATAACATAATTCCTAGATGACTACTATTGGGTTATCTACGTGGGAGTCCAGCGACATAGCCATTACGCTAACTGCTGGTTCCCGCACTTCAGTACAATTTTGAAGAAAAGATTTGGTCAACCCTTTCTAACCCCTCCACACTTGCATTTTGACCACTTAGATGCAGCGACAGCTGGTCAAGGTTATGTGATTGATAACACATTTGCCTATAACATAATTCCTAGATGACTACTATTGGGTTATTGGAAAAGTCATGATGTATTCTTTGCAAAGATGCATCATGACTTTCCTGAGGACCCAATAAAACGACTCTCATTCCTGAGACACCTATGAACAGTTCAGCTGTGTGATTTATGCCTCGATTGTCTTCTCATCACATTCTGGACTGTCAGTGACGGTAGCAGCTGGAATGCAAAAGTCAATTCAGAAAATGGAAAAAATACAAAACTTCTTCTCAGAAAGGATTTGGCCTTGGAATTGAGATCTGTAAACACCACCACTCTTTCAAAGATGGTGCTGTTTTCCCACATGCCACCCAAAACCCTATTTGTGATTTTGTTCATATTCCCAAGGCCCTCAGAGATCCAGTGGGATCCAGGACAGCACTCTGCAGGCAGAACCACTGTTTCTCAGGGAGGAAAAAATATTGATGGTGAAAGGGGCATTTCTCTCTTCTGGACTCTTTTTTTTTTCTCCTTTGTGTGTGTGTGTGTGTGTGTGTGTGTGTGTGTGTGTGTGCGCCATGAGGTGCATGCACCTACTGGAAAAAGACAAAGACAGTGAGAGGGAAAGGGAGAAATCACCCGTTGAGGGGGATGGGCACACCACAATCATTTCTCCTCCATTCTCCTCCTGGGATTTTGGGCATGTAAGCGCACTTACCTGGCATGATTTTCTTTTCTTTTTTTCTTCTTTTTAGAGAGCTTTTTGCCATAGGGCACATGCACTCACCAGTGAGAGGCAGAGACAGAGACTGAGAGGAAGAGTGGGAAATCAAGCCCCAAGGAGGATGGCCATGCCGCAATCCCTTCTCCTCCCATTCTCCTCCTGGGCTCTTGGGCAGCCAAACACCCAATGAAGGGCAGAGAGTTTACTCTAAAATAGGAATTAAAATGATGAACATACTGAGGATACCTTGAAAATAAATTAAATGATGGAAGTCTTGATTTTTAAAATACATGAGTCATGGGGCCAGCAGATGGCCCAAGTGGCACAGTCAGTAGCATACCAAACTGTAGTCCTGAAAGCCACATGGTCAACTGCAAGTCCACATCCCTGGACCATGTGACCTGAAACATACAAGGCATACATACAGGAGTCCAAGATCCCAAGGAGGTGTAGGACTGGGGAAGGAGAGCGCATGTAACAAGAACCTGCTCGCTCTCTCAATAAAAACAAAACTGTGTGATTACATTGAGCCCATCCAGATCTTCTTATCAAGAGCTTTAATTTAGTCACATCTGTAATTTTTTTTTTTTTTTTGCTCATGTAAGGTAACATATTCACAGGCTCTAGGAATTAAGATATGCATAATAAAACTGGTGAAATAGAGACTCCCAACTAAAACTACCACTGAATTTCAGTATGCCCAAGGTAAAGTTTCCCCAAGATTTCAGTAGAAATAACAACAGAACAACAGGCATAAAAAAAAAATCTGGTCATCAGCAGCCATCAGTGTCTTTTCAACAATCCTAGACAACAAGGGAAAACTCTGTTAATGCCTTCAAGGTTCTTAGAGGGAAATTGTTTTCAACCTGGAATGCGGTGCTAAATTATTAATCAATGGGGAAGAGGAAAATTTAAAACCTTTTCAAAGTTTACCTTCAGAGCTTCTTTTTAGAAAATAACTTTCAGATGATCTCCCAACGAAATGAATTAAGTAAGCCAAATGAATAAACCAAAGCGAATAAGTAAACCAAGAGGATGACCTGAAGTTCAAGAAACACTGGTTCAACCTGAGAGAGCAGTGAAGGGAAGTCCTAAGGAAGGAGTTATTCAGGACTAGAGAGTAGGTTCTGTATTAGGTTGTCAGAAAAGGCATGATGTATTTTTTTCTATGCAAAATTGTGTCATAACTTTTTCCACAACCCAATACATTGGAGGTTGAGGGGGACAGTTCCAAGAGGAAGGGCTCCAGAAAAAAAAAGGGGGGGGGAGTTATTAGGAAGACAAAATAGTATGCTGAAAATACCAGTAAGATTTGAAGATATGAAATAACAGAAGTGCATTGC